TTTGCGTAAAGAACTCATTTGACTATGGCCGCTGTCAGTACATCAACTGTATCTCACGACATGGAGCTGCAACACTCGGATATCGAAGGGACGTTGGTTGTGGGAGAAATGGTCGTCGCCAGAACTTCGTCGGCTTCCATTTCTGTATCCACCGATACAGCAATGTCGGATAATCTTACGACCAACCTCATCGCTCAGGTCACCTCATTTGCTGGGTCTTACGCAAACCTCAATGAACTCTTTGAGAAATCTTGGAATTTCAAGCATGGCGCATTGCAGTCTCAAGCGTCATGGCGAAGTGAATCTGACGATTTACCGCAAGGGCATTCATTCTACACGAGCGCCCAGTGCGAACGGAGCCATGGGCCTGCTTTTTATGACGCCTACAATATGTACAGCCGGACTGCTCATATGGGCATACTCGACCCTAGCTATGAAGTCTATACGAGTGAATACGGGCGCGGAGCACTTATTTACAAAGTGAAGAACCGTACGGCTGTCATCACCGGTGATCCCCTCTGCCCCGCGAGCCAGTTTGATGATTTGCTGAAGGAATTCCAATGCAAGAAACAGCTCAAACTGGCATTCATGGGAATTGGGCAGCAATTCGCCGAATACGCCGCAGACAAGGGATGGACTACCATGCATTTTGGACGTGAACGTGTCTTGAATCCTCTGACGAACAAAGTTCTTCGTCAATTTTCAGGAAAGCGGATGATAACCCAGAGTCGAAGACTATTAGATCCTCGGCGCATCGGACTCGTCGCTGATATCTATGCTCCTGGAAGGTCCGGCCGTGATTCCGCGCTGGAGACTGAACTTCAGGGCTTATACGATTTATGGCGCATGGAGCGCAACTCGAAGAATGAGGGAGGCACCCAGGCATTCGTCACGGTATATGACCTGTTCTCGGATCCCGATATAACCTTCTATCTGTATCTTCGAGATCGAGAAGGTTCTATGGTTGGCCTAGCAGTGCTTCGAAGCCTCGGGGCCAACTGCGGGTTTCATCTTGACCCTTGCATAGCCTCCCCTACTGCTCCTTCTGGCGTTACCGACCTTCTCGTCCTTCTTTCCATGATTTTACTCCGAGGCACTGGAATCGCATATCTTAGCTTCGGTTATGAACCCTTTCCTGAAATATGCGACATATCAGGACAGCAGAACTTGAAGGCTTCTTTGACACGCTGGGGCTACCGCCGTGTTCTAGAGACGGTGAATGTGGGCGGTAAGGTCTCTTATCATGACAAATTCCACCCTGATGAGAGCCTGGAATCAAACCTATACACAGTTATTCCCAAAGGACCTCTTCAAGTTCAACAATCAGCTGCAATTATGCATGTGGCCAATATCAAACTTCGACGCCTGTTACTCTCCAATCACCGTTGAACAGTCAGTTGGAAGATGAGAAAGAGTGACACATCATCTCTGTGTTCTAGGATTAATTTTCGAAGCGGCGGAACATCATATGCATACCGTTTTACAGCTTTGTTTTGTAGCATATTCGGGATTCAAAATGTACAGTATTATGATCTTTCTTATACTCTGTTAGGGCCTATATTATTAATACGGAATTATGGAAAATAAATAACGACTTTTCTATATAAATAGCATAGCATTTGTTTGAAAGCTCGCGCAATACGTCGGAATATCCAAGGCTGGTTGTCTGGATGGCGATCCCTGTCTCACTCATTAGGCAGAACAGGCAGCAATTAGGCCTGACCAGTAGTGAGACGAGGAAGGCCAAAAACAGGCGGTTAGGCCGCTACGCTCAGTTAGTCATCATCTCAACAGCTGCCCATAAATATACCAGCCAAAATAACTCGGCGGTAGGAATTCGACGGGCATTCACACACGTATTCATCGAGAATTTCTATAAACTTTCATCACTTGAATACCAGCCAAATCCTCCTGAGTAGCTGTGAGTGTGCGTTAGCCATTTCATCACCATGGCAGCCTCGACACTCGGCCATCCTGCACTCCCCATCGAGCTTTGGCTGGCCACCGCAGCGCACGTCGCCGACTTCGCCGACTTGGCTGTTCTGGCGAGGACCTCAAGCCCGCTGCACAACGCAATCATCCCAGTCCTGTACACCCGCGCATTATCCTCACTGCGAAGCGAGCGGGCGTTGTTCTGGGGAGTGCTCAACGGGTTCCCCCGCACGGTCGAAGCGGCTCTTGATGCAGGCATCCATGTGAACTTGACGTGGCACTCCCTGCTTCGTGCCAGCAAGCTCCAACCCGTCTTCTCCAACCCCGAGGGTGTCGATCTGAAGGATTTCCTAGATGCGGTAGATCGTCGCGGCGCCGCCAATCCAGGTGAGCCGAAGTGGCACTGGTCGGCGTTGCATCTTGCAGCCATGAAGGGCAAGACCGAGATTGTCGAGCTGTTGCTCCAGCGCAATGCCAAGATGAGCACAGGTAGTTTGGGACTCTGTGATTGCGGAATGCGACCGCGGACTGTCGGGCAAAGACCCCGTCACTCAGGCGAGGATCGACCTACCCTCTGGACTCCGTACCATGTTGCTGTTTGCGCGGGACAAGTCTCTGCGGCGAACCTTCTGATATCCAATGGAGCCTCTGTTGACATGGAAACTCCCCAGCAGAGTATTGACTGGGCTCCAACACATTTGACCGCGCTCCATGTTGCATCCAAGTCTGGCAACGAAGACATGCTAAATTGGCTCTTGAGCAAGGGCCATACCTCAGGTGGTGTTGAATCCGTCGATCGTCTTGGGCAGACTCCGCTCGTGTATGCATACCTGCACCAGAACTGGCGTTGCTTTGAGATCTTGCTTCGAAATGGTGCCAATAAGAATAAAGTAATCTCGTTCAATCTCGCTGAAGATCGAGATGACTGGATGAATGACACGATGCTTTACGATGCCATTTCCAGCTTCAGGTTCAAGGACGCCCTGCGTCTTATTGAAGCCGGCGTTGATTTAGTGAAACCCGCTGACGAACTGACAGCACCTCCCCTTATTCATTTGCTGTGTAGGAAGCCATGGGATGTTATGTTGGTAAACAACCCCAGTAAAGATTCACAGGATGATCTGGTTCGCAGTGGGGAGATTTTGCTTGAAGAGTTTCTCAAACGAGGCCTGAACCCTAATGAGAGCCATTTCGGATACACGGCACTTTGTTACGCTGCTGGCGCATGCAATATCTTTGCCATTCAATGTTTGCTTCGTGCTGGTGCGCATATCAACGGCAATCCCGGGGATATGTTCTCGCCGCTGGCCAGGGCGTGCCAGAATCAATGGCGCAGGCCGATGCTGGAGACTGTGTCTTTGCTTATAGAATCGGGAGCCTCGGTGAATAGGATCGGAGATACAGCCGTGGCTCCCACCTGGGCACTTTCAGGTCGTTATAATAACTCTCCAGAGAAGAAGCAGGTATTGGAGTTGTTACTAGATCACGGCGCGCGTATATCTCGTGGCACGTCTTCTGGACAACGCTCGTTCGTCACTCCTCTCGAGGAATCATTACGAATGGGGGATATGGAAACCTTCGAGAAACTACTGTCGCGATGCAAGCCTGAGGAGATTGGCGATGATGATATTGTAGGCTTTTGGAGTGCCATCCCCTCTGGCGAGGGTGCCGATCGCTACAGGCGTGTTCTCGACTTGGACACAAATTGCGCCATTGTTCGAGATATGCCGCTGGCATTAACCACTCTGCTTCATCAAAGGCCAATACCAAAAGACCTCGTAGTGAGGCTACTGGAAATGGGGGCGAATCCCAACACCACATTCGGTATGTCGAATCTTGTCAGCGCCATAATGAGCCAGGAAAACACAAGCGCTGTTGTTAAAACGCTGCTGGCGCACGGGGCAAACCCGAATACGAAATGGGATTCCGCTACACCACTCACCTACGTACTAAGGCACTGCAAGCAATCATTGGAAGCAAGATTGAGCCATGTGGAATGCCTTCTGGATGCGGGTGTCTCGATCTACGAACGACTGAGCCGCTCACCTTCTATTGGATTTCTCTCTCAAGGCGCGCCGGCGACTCACCTCGGCCTTGCCATCCAAAACTTAAACGAGAACGAGAGCCCGGTACTTACGCAACTCATGCTGGACCGACAGCCATTCCGCGACCATCCACAGATCCGGCCTTACGAATACATCTACCAGGCCTTTGGACTTGGTAATGTCATAGCACTCAAAGCTATCATCCGAAATTGCGATGACGCGAAATCTCTGATCCGTGAAAATGCGCATGAACTCATACATAATCTGCTTGACTTGCTCTGTGTTTCTCAAACCAATCACGAGGGCATGGTGACAACGGTTGACTGTTTGCGTATCCTCTTTGAGGAAAGCGAGCTGGATCTGCTCTTGAATGCCCCGGAGCGTTCAAGAGATAAACGCACCGCCAGGGAGAAATTATTGAATGCTATGAGTATTGACGGCATATGGGGCGGCCATAAGGAAATGGGCATGTGCTTCATTGCCAGGGTCCGGTTTTCGGAAGAGGACACCAAGCCCAAATTTTTGGAACTTGAAGAGTTAATGAATCATGGTTCTACGCCATTATCTGTATCAGGGAAGCGTTCTAGGGATCGATAAGTACATGTAGACATACAGACTAAGATCAAGAAGAACTTAGTTGATGGGACGTTGGAACTGCGGATAATAAGGGATTTAGATAGTTTAGCATAGAATAGATAGTAAATTCAAATAATCTACATAATCCTAATGATGAGGTTCTTTCGTTCATTCGGAGTATTAAGAAAGGAGAGATTGAAAGACATATCTGTATATTAAAAGGCTACTTGGGTTTGGGCAGGAGAAAAGGGGGGCTGCGAGACGATTGTAATGAAGAACAAGAAGAGAGGTCACGGGATTTCATCGCTATCACCAGTGATGCATTACAATATCACTGCTCGAAATATGTATTGTAATGCTATATTCTAGACGCTTATGAACTTTATAATATGCAAGGCAAAAGAACTGAGAATAGATGTAACCGAGTGGAGAACAGTATATATACACTTAGAAGAGAAAGTAGATGAGACGCTTCCAGGCGGGATAAGAGGCAATCAATGCCTTCTCTTCGCGGATCGCTTCCCAGTCATGCTCACGACGTCCAGTGTCGATGTCAATGTCGTCCAACTTCAGCCAGCCTTCTCTCTTCCACAGATAACCAATAGCCCACAGTGCCAGCATGATGGGGAAGCCAAGGTAGGACTTGAAAAAGTCCTCGGCTGTACCAACTCCAGACTCTCCGGGAGGCGCAGCGACGGCAGTATAGAACTGTTTGACCTACGGTTAGCAATATTCTGTATCGACGGGAAGCAACCATAAGACATACCTGAGCAATCAGAATGAGGATGATGAAGAACAATCCTAGCCAAGATCCCCAAACTCCTCCAATCGCCTTGAACGGGATCTCATCCACCGTGTGGCCGTGATGTTTCCAAGCGGCGCGGAATCGAATATGTGCAAGACAGATGGAGCCCCACGAGAACAGTGTAGCCAGACCGGAGAGGGCCTGAAGCCACTCGAAAATAACGTCACCGCTTGCCGTCAAGTTGAGGTAGGCTAGGAAGCCGAAGGCAATGATGAGACCGACCGATGGGAGCGGTCGTCCAGCGCGATCGATGTATGTGAAGATCTTAAGGCCGTACCCTTGTTGGCTGACAGCGGTGACGGTTCTTGATCCGCCGTAGACTGAGGCAATGCCGATGGAGAGGACCGATGAGAGAATCACCACGTTCATGTAGTGATCAAAGCCATTGAGCCCAGCATACTTGGCGACGAGAACGAACGGCGACGCCTTGGAGCTGTTTGAGCTAGAAGAAAGCAATGCGTCGTCGTTGGGATCGATCAGAAGACCGATGAAAAAGAGACCGATGATGTAGAAGAGGGAGATCCGCCAGAAAACCTGCTTGATCGCACCCGGTACCGACTTTGCTGGATTCCGCGACTCGGCGGCGGCAAGACCGACAAGCTCCGTGCCGGCAAATGAGAAGGCCGCGGTAACAAAGACGGAACAGAAACCCTTGAAGCCATTCTTGAAAACATCAGGACCGCTCCAATTTCGGGTACCCCAGTATTCGCTGTACCGGCCGTTGGAAGGACCACCGCCGCAGACGAGGACGAGCGCGACGATGATGAAGATTGAGGTCGACGCGAGCTTGAATGAGGCAGCCCAGAATTCTTCTTCGGCGTAACCGATACTGCCAAAAATATTGAGAATGACGATGGCGACGAGGAAAACCGTGATCCACACGCCGGGGGAGGTGGTTTCATCCCAGTACGAGATCGTGACGGCTGATTGTACCTAATTAGAAACTGACGAGATAATCAAGAACAAACATGACGTCTTCTCACCGCACACAGTCAATTCCAGGGGCAGAGTGACAGCCCACTGGAAAGCATAGTTCCAGGCCATGGCAAAACCAAATGAAGGGTCGACGAAACGGGATGAGTAGGCGTAGAAACCGCCGGAAACGGGGTACATGACGGCAAGCTCGCCAAGGGCGTAGACTGCCGACGCATGTTGTTAGTCTGCCATTCTGGATGCAGTGATACCAGGGCGATGACGAGAGATCAAAGCACAGTATTTGCCATATCACGTACCAACGTTGAACACCATGATACTGATGATCAGGAAGTCGACAAAGAGGGAGCCGGGGCCCTGGTTCGTGTTAGCGAACGAAGTCTGCGACATGGTCTCATAGTGACACATAACATACACCCTTGCTGAGCGCACTGCCAGATCCGACGTAAAATCCTGCACCAATGGAACCGCCAATGGCAATCATGTTAAGATGCCTGGGCGACATCTTGCGGTCCAGCTCGACGAGGCCATACCCGTAGTGCTTCTTGGTGAAGGACTCGGCGTTGAGGCCCGTCCGGGTCATGAAGCTCTCCTGCTCGAACGCGTAGCCAGCTCCATCGCTCTGGGCCCCAATCGAAGGCGGCTTGGCCTTCTCCTCGTCGTGGGTTTTGGGAACAGCCTGCTTCTCGCTCGCATCGGCCGAGGATATCGGCAGATCTGGATTCATGGCGGCGGCGAGGTGTGTCGATTCAGGGGAACACAATACCACCGGGGCAGCAGACAAGGAGCGAACGAAACTGGTTTTACTTCTCGGGACGGCACACGGTCTAAAGCAAAACAATTTTCAAGCTCGGATGGACCTTGATTTCCCCATCCGGCTCGACTCAGGCTGTGGGCACCATGGCAGTATTAATAACATAAATGCTTTAGCCTGCCCCTTCATGATCCAGGACCGGTTCCCAGGGAGTTTTACGTAAATGGCTCCGTGGGGAAATAACGCGGTCATGGTCCATCCCAGCAATGGATGAATCGTATTTGCAACTGCGCGGCGATTAGAGGCATTTTCATTTTTCACCGTCATCTCCACCAGGGCCGAGCAGAAGCATCCACTTTCAGCCGTCCAAACCCGCTCGGGAGAGGCTAGCAAGGCAAAGACTGGATCGCCTAGAGGCAGCAGAGGCGTGCGGTTCCTGGCAGCACTGAGTCAGGCCTCTGTGCGCTGTGCAAAGGTGCGTCGACAACGAGCAGCCTCGCCGAAAACCCGCGCCATCACCACATTACCCACAGATCGAGCTATCACGCGCTCCATAATGAGTCCACAGGGAGGGCACGGACGGGGGGCGAATGGATGATTTTGCCATCGCTGCATTGGCTCCTGGTGAATCGATTAGACATTCTGATTATTCCGATTTCTGAGCGTTTTCATCCAGATAAGCTCGCCCCGGAAAAAAAATTCACAAATGCCACGCCACTTCCGGCTGTCTCACCTTCAGTCTCACGGCCCGTCTCTGCCTGATGCCGAGAAGAGTCACGGCAGGTGTTTGAGCCAAGGGAAAATCATCAGACAACGGGATCGTCGGGCGGATCGGTCGTTAGCATGATTATGCTGCATGGTTGGTCCTCTTACCAGTTTTGTTCGTCATTATCAAGCCGCCTAATCTGCCCATTTGCTGACATTCCATTTGATACCACACCTTATTGTGGCTTTCACATGCAACAATGTACACCAATTATCCATTTATCCTACCTAGCTTACACAACCATCCCGTGAGAGCAATGTATCGTAGTGTTATAAATCGTTTATTCTTCAAAATTCAATGCTGGGCACATGTGAAGTAGAGTTCACTTACTTGGTACGTGTACCAAGTAAGAGAGGTGGACTCGGAATACCGGCAACTGAAACTATTTGAGATGGTAGCCTGCATACCCAATCGCATTTGATGAATATATCTACACATGGTTCACTCTAGCACCACGGTTTCAGTCAATAGCATGACTACTACCCCAACTTCAAGATATGCCCCGTCTGGGGCAGCGTGTTATGCTTATCTTCTTTGACTAATGGAAAACAAGGACTCGTAGTTCATAATACGTAAAAATTGCCAACCAGATTGATAGCCGACGAGATGTCCCATGTTATGAAAAACACCAGGCCTGCCTGAGTTCTGGGGCGAAAATGGAGTGTATTTGCAAACCTCGTCGACCCACAACTTGTACGTAATAGTTTCGCTCCAGCAGATGACTCTTGCCGACGTATCCAGCAAGCAACACAGCGTTGGAGTGCAATCCTAGCATGCAGATTCTCATGATTCGGGTGGTATGATGTGAGCTTTGAAATGCTATGGTGGTTGTAGATGTCGTCGGACTCTCTTGCACCAAGAGTTGGCCCCTATTCGTCACACTATTCCGAAGTGAGCAAGTAAACGACAATAAATCCACTCTACCTATCCAGGAAATGTGTCATAACATGCATAGCCTGTAGACCCTCCCCCGCAAGGTCCACGCGAATTCGATTGTCGACGTGCTTTGTAGCCCTCCGCAGGCGTCTGCATCTCCAGACTCCCCGCACCCCAGGCTCAATAGACGATGGAGGGAGTTTCAATTTGTCACAGGTATTTCCTCTTTGAGTTGTAGGTTCGATCTTCTGCTTGCCACGAGCCCGAAGCCCCGAGCTTTGCGGCCTAGCGGTCCTCCGTTTGTGTTGCTGGAGCAAGATATACAAAACATTGCGTCAGAACCAGTAATTAGTAATTCCATGTACTATTTCAAAATGAGAAAGTAAATCACATTAATCTAAATTTAGAAGTTTTCTTAGCCCGTCCGTTTCATTGCTGAGTCTTCGATGTTGAAGGAGGACTCACTCTTCAAAGGAGGAGGTAAGACTGAGGGAGCCAACCCGAATCAACCGGGACCACCTCGAATTTTCTACGAGGGAGAAAACTCACATGAATAAGGGATATTCTCCTGGAACGTAGCCTATGAAGAACATGGGAAGTTGTTTACATACACACTACAGATCCATCTTGTTGAATGTACTACTGCTGATATCTAATGGCAGGCGAAGACTGTGGCCCGCATAGACCCCTTCATTGCTTCATTTCAAATAGGTACTGCTATTTTGGAACTAGGCTTTCCGAACTGGTGACCAGATCGCCTCATATTCGGATCCACTGTCAAGAAGGGGCGATGGAGGTCCGCACTCGATATGAGCAGCTGAGATTCCAGGGTATTCTGGAGAAGTTTGTGGAGAGACTTCCGGGGAAGTTGACTTTCAATGGATTCGTTTTACCACAAAAAGGTGGCGGCTTATTAGTGCCCAATCACGAAGGCCACTGGTCCTCGTTGATCAATGCCACCTACGACGTGTTAACTAAGAGTGTGACAAGGGGTCCATTGTGACAAGGGAACAGCTTCTGCCTTGAATAGCCGACTATTTCTCCACACTTTATGATCAAACAATTTCAAATCAAGCTTGTGTTTACTAGGATATATCGATGAGAGTTGACTGACTCGTAGGAGCTCAACCCGTATAATCTCGCTCGGGGAAGACGGTACCAATCACACTGCTCCCATTAACCAAGCCAACACGCATTTGACCCCGGCCCCCACGATTACTTCTAAAGTAGTATGGGACAAATGTCAAGTCCCTGTCGACTGAAGGGCGAGCCCCTCCTCCACGATTGGGCACTGATCGAGTCCACCCATTGCTATGTAGCGCGATATACGACTCTCCTGTTTCCGCATCTTCTTTTCTTTCCTCGGTAATGCGTGAATCCGTGGTAATCGTTACATCCTTGAAGTGATTTGTCTCCCAATCGTTGTCTACATCCTCGACACAATACACAATAGGCCCGCGAGCTAGTGCTAAAACGTGCTGCATGCTGTAGGGGTGTGGGGAGAGGTAACGAGGAGCAAAGTTCTTGATCTCGAGAGAGAATTCGGGGTTTTTGGATGTATAAGCAGGCGAAATAATCAAGTAGCCTTTCTCGATTTTCAAGCTCGTCTGCTCTGAGGTCTCGGGGCTGATCTCGTAGCTACCTTGAGCCCAAGCAGGCACTCTCAACCGAAGGGTCGTGTCCACTGGGTTAGTAGAGGAGAGCCGGAACCGGATCTTCCCTTCCCATGGCCAATTCGACTCCTGATGAAGAGTAACCGAGTTCTCATCTCCAACCGCGAAGCTCACCTGAGCGCTCGAGTAGAGATGGACATTCACATAGGCGCCTCCGTCGCCTGGGCCATAATCCCACAGATAGCCCCCAATGCTCCCGTACAGCCTTGTCAGGTTAGGTGGGCAACAGGCGCACCAGAACCAGTCGCTCCTCTCGCTTTTGTCCTTGCCCGAGCTAGCCAGTTGGTTCACGTAGGTAAACTTGGTACCATCGGTGCTCATCGATGTCATAACGTTGTTGTACAGGCAAAGCTCCAGGATGTCGCCATAGTGCCCATCAAGATCGACATGTAGCATTCTCTCTGCGAGCATCATGACAGCGATGGATGCACAGGTTTCAGCATAGCATCCCCCCTCGTCTGTTCCTTGAGGGAGGAAATAATCGATCCCGAACCCCTCCCATTGTTTGATTGCGCCAATTCCTCCGGTGACATACATTCTCTTATCAACCATGTTGTTCCAGAGCTGATCCAGGGCGTTTGTCCAGCTTTTGCGGGCTTTTTCACCTAGTGGTTTATCACCTGAATCTGAGAGGCAGACGAGATCTGCGACGGCCGTGAGGAGGTACATGGCTCTGACACTATGTCCTTCCACGGCGGTCTGCTCTGTTATGGGTAGATGAGCCTGGCAGTTCCAATAAGTCCGATTCGTGGGAAAGGCATCCGGTCTCATCCAGCGGCTTTCACCTCGCTGTTCTGTCTCCCAATCATAATAATGTTTGCCATCCTGTCCCTCGGGATTACCGCGCTCGGTCAGAAAGTAATGGGCTAGTTCATATGCCTCAGAACTCCCGGTAACGGTCGCATACCGAAGGAGGGCAAGCTCAATCTCTGGATGGCCAGGATAACCTCTCACCTGACCATCTGCAGTCCCAAAACGCTTCCGGATGAGTGAGATATATTTCTCTACTGGTGCTTTGAGCTGGTCATTCTTGTAGTAGAGGTAATGAGCTACAGCTGCTTCGATAAGATGGCCCGCATTATATCTGAGAAACACGATATTATAAATTCCGCGTGTATATCTTCTTCGGAATAGTCAATTGAACTCACAGCTCGTGCATGTCACGTAGATTTGACCACCTCTTGGTAGGCTCAACAACAGTATAATGGACATTCAAATATCCATCCTCTTGCTGAGCACCCCTTATCATTTCCACAAGCTCTTGAACAGCGGCATCAAGACCAGCATCGTAGCTTTCCGAAAGGAAATAGCACGCCCCTTCGATCCATTTGGCCACATCGCTGTCCCAGAAGAGATGAAATGGCACCGGCCACATGGACTTGTCATCATAAATAGGATGCCATTTGAGCTTGAAGCAGTCGTACCGTCCGGTGGATTTTAGCTGGTCAAGCTGTGTTTGAAGCGTCTTGCTCGACACTGTCGCTCTACGAGCAGACAGAAGAGTCTTTCTGGTAAAGGTCGTGTCCTTGAAAGTAACCTGCGGGTGTGACATATTGAGCGTATTGATGTATACCTGCTTAGCCTCTAGCGATTAGAGTCTTGGATTGTCCAGTGACTATTATTGCAGGGATCGTAGAGAGTGTATGAGTGCAGGTGTAGAAGGATTGGTCGCGGTTAATTTGTGTTCTGGTTCTGGTCTATGTCGCTTTGAACTTATCCCGAGTCGCGGAAAACTCGGTACCAATAGTTGCGAACTCAACAAATTGGACCAGGTGCTGGCCTTTTGACATTCGTTTGGTGGGAGTATTGTTAAGCGACATCAGGGATGCATCGTCCGGCCGGAAGCGATGATTGGTTCTCCCACCGGAAACCCACGCACAGGGAGATCTTATCCCTATCCCGCACGTTATCCTACCTCGTAATCCGACAACCTCTGTGTCAGTAGATTGGTGGAACAGTCCCAGAACTCGATGCACTCGGACCATTATAGGTGGCGAGACGGCATATCATCCACACCGAAGCGCCGACCTCCCACCGGATTAGTGGTCGTCGAAGCAGGCTCAATGATATCACTTCTCGAGGAATATGGCGAAATTACATATTGGAGATGTTTTAATTTCAAGAGAGATTCTGTATTGCTGCTACTCTAGATAAATTCCAGTAACCGCTCTCAAGCACCCCTCCCTAACATAACACGCTCTGCCTTCTGGAGAATATCGACATAATCACGATCACGACCCCAGGCGAACGCCACAGACTCCAGAATACGTAGGCCGTGCCTCAATATCTTGGCGGGGCTTTTTGCCTCGTAGATGTCTCCCACGCCAGAAACATAAGCCTTCATATTGGCTGGCCGTCCAGACCGGACAAAGTATTGCACCATCTCGTCGTCATTCGGGCGGTCTAGCCATATGAATCCCGGGTTGTCGATTCCATCAATATCCAAATCATTACCCTCTTCTTCTAGTGAAGCAGCACGAGCACCCTGGTAGTCCCCTTCATCCTCACTCATTTGGCCGGGCTCCTCCGGTCTAGGCATGGTTGTTTGTGACATGTAATAGCTATATGCCCAGAGTGCTAACGTCGCATGGAATACTGATTGTGGTTCATAAAATGCCATGTTGGAGAACCGACGCAGGTGCCAGAAGACGCATCCGCAGTGAATAGCTGCCAGTCGAGCCTTGGACTATGTTCAGCCGGTCCTATCAGCACACGAGCCGTTTTTAGATACACATGATGAGAGTTCACTTACCTCGTCGCGGTGTGCCCACCAAATGACCTCCTGTTCCGCCATATAAACATTGGCGGGGGTAGTCTGTTGAGATATATCCCCAGCATCCTTTGTGATTGACAATAGTAAGACTAGAATTTCCTTGACGGGAACCAAGAGCACTACGCGCGAGAAGTGCAGGTGATGAACCGTCGGATGCTCCGTTCCAGACTGTATTGCTATCACTCCATTGGCCCACCAATGCAACTCGTCTACACAATCCAGGGCAGCACTTCTCCAGGCAGCAAACGTGGCCGTCTCGCTAAGCCACTGGTGCGAACCAGACAGCTCAGAAGAGCTGCTAGGACTGCTTGCAAGATTTGAGACACTTGGTTCCTGATGCGCAGTGGGAATCCAATTCGAAAGCGGCCGCTGGAAATAGGCTTTGACCTGGAAGATCTCATGATAAACCCCATGGAGCAGCAGTATTCGTCCGAACTCGCCTAGGTCTGGCTTTACTTTCTTCCGCTGGAATATGCTTTTAATCGCGTGGGGTAGAGGAGGGTTCCCTAGGATGAAGTCAGCTAGAATCATGGGTTAGCATTGTGGGGGATTGCACGCTTACGCCTTGTTCGCTTAAATAACTCCAACCATTCGTGTTCATCTGGTGCCGACCATAAGCCGTCGTGCGGCAGGTCAGCTTCTGGAACTCGATGAGGCATCAGCGGTGGGATATCGAAATGGTAGAAGACCATTAGATCAAGCATCTGCTCCAGTTAGTAGGTATACATAGACGAATTGGGCGGTGAATACTGACCCAAATGGAATAACCGAGGCGCCGTTTTGTTTCCAATCGAATCCACCGCTGCCATTGACTGTGTGCATTATTATCTGCCGCATCACTTTCACCATGGGCCTGTCTTGTTTCTGCAGTAAACAGTCCCAAAGTCTCGGCGAGTTGGATCAACAGGCCACGATGGATCAGAGCCTGCCTTCGCATAGCTACATCACCGTAATAAAAGTAAGAAACTTGACTCAAAAATAAAGCTTTTATGTAGTGAATTTGAGCTTGGGGATCCTCTTGAGATACATCCATCTCTTGTTGTAGTCCTCTGCGGAGGAATTCGTGAAGAGGAGCTACCATAGATTCGAATTCTTGCGTCCGAGTGTACTGGCAACCAATGGCGACCATAGCTAGGGTCAAAAGCCAAAACTCATTGACATTGCGTGTGATGTGGTGTGAAATGGGCAGTGCTGGTATGAATCGATCGTGAAAGAGATGGAGTAACATGTCAACCTGCAAGATGGAAGGGAAGTGTTCCTCTTTGAAGGCTTGGTGGTCCTTGTCGCCATGGTTGATACATAAATTCCGGAACTCTTGTACGAGGATATCATATGTGACGGGCAATATTAGCTCTGGCGTTTCCTTGTCAAGGCTACCTGAGGGTACTAGATTATGCAGGTCGCAGGGGTTAAACTGCTGCACTGAAGTGACCTCAGATCGACTCAGGAGGTGCGGTTTCATTCTTGAGATAGATGACTGGGGATGGGAAGACAAAATCACGGGCAACAGCGCCTTATCTCGTAGAAAGGTTGGGGCCCTTGCACTGCTGCTGGTTGCATAGAGCCTCCCCGGTGGAGTAGCGTCGGACTTGCGGCGGCCAAGGGACTTCCTCGAGCCCGATGAAGTAGTCCCGGGTGACCAGGTTGTTGAAGACTGCATGGCTCCAACTTGATCGCCTCTCGAAGGGTCCCCCTCCTCCAGAAAGCTCGCAGTTGGGAAATCGAGGCCGGCCGTCATGGGTCCGGATGTTGTCATGTCTGGTAAAAGATTCAAATCAAGAATTGAGCTAAATTGGATGTTTGTCTCGTCACTGATTGGCAACCAATTCAAGCCAAGACTAGGGTTTGGTTGAAATTGAGCTCCACGAGAAGACATCAATGTAAAATCAGGATCCACGAATGTCGTGACTCTTGTATCCGCTGAATGATTTGGGCGATTGTCAGGGGCATTCATATCCGCCGGAGTTACGGTGTCCATGCCGCCAACATCTGAGAGCGAATTCTGCCCATAGCTAAAATCGTCATGCTCGATCAACAAACTGGCAGAAGCACAAGCAGCGTCCATGACTTCCTCAGCTTGATTCGGATTATGAAGGGTTCCCGGTTCCGGCAACTCCTGCGTCCTGCCCTCATCTTTCCTGCTTTTGGCGTTTGACTTCGCTGTCTTCGTGGCACCTGAATCTATGTACACGCAGCGAAGTGACCTTAGACTGCATCTCTCGCATGGGAGGTCTCGTGTACAGCGATCGCGGGCTTGGGCGCAGGGCGCACAGGCTCTGGGCTGCCTCGGCTGACGGGAAGCGTCTAGATGTGCCCCTGCTGAGGCGCGAGAAGGCGCTTTGTGAATGAATTCGTGGCGCGAAAGTACATCGCTTCCATTTCTTAAATTTAGCAATGGCTTATTGGGAGAGAATTGGGACGTGTAGCATCCAGCCTGGAAGAATCACCTTCTTGCAAAACATTTTCCGCATACCGTACATTCGTAGGTCTTGCCAATCAAATGGGACCTCTCATGCCTTCGCAAATGCTCAATTCGCTTGAACTGTTTGGAGCATGACTCGCATCGGAACCGAAAGCTGTTGCGTTCTGCCAACTGCGACTGACGGGAGGCCAAATGTGTCATCACGAGGCAGCGTGCTCAATTATCAGGCATTCGAGGGCGCGAATGATGAATTGGCTGACTTGAATGGAAGGAAGATGTCCGCATCGCTTAGCTCATTCAGGGGGGCTGTCGAAATGGAACACCCCTCCCAATCATGGGGAGAAACGTGACCGCCAACCCAAGACTTGCGGCTAGTTGTAGCTATGGATTGTTGCTGGTAGCCAGAATTGGTGCAAAAAGAGGAGCATCCATGTTTCCATTTTCGGAAAAACACGAAAGCTGGTTCAGACCACTCCTCATACGACTCACCCAACACACTTTCAATATACTTCAGGCAGAGATGGAGGAGTGACAGTGTAGACCCTCACAGCACGAGTCAGTACAGGTCATGGGACGGAGATTGCATACCTTGATTCTTTTCTGTTCATAGGGCCGGCTTTCAGCTAAACAGCCACGCACTAGATCATGGATGAAAATGGGGTAATGGCAGGGTCCTTGGAGCCAATTCATGTGATTCCCCACGGGGACGGTGTGTCCCACAGCTGCTCCCACTTTCAATTTAACTCCTTATTGGCCCTCCCACCGGAATCTGCATTTGAACTGGGCTCATGGCCTAGAACCTTGCCAAAGCAACCCACAGACGATGGTGGAGATGTATATTATTACCACTCTAGACACCAGTTGATGAGTGAGACTGCGGTGGAAGAATTACAAATTCATTTGCATCGATTCCAAGATCAAAAGCGTCCAACAACGTGCCAGACCGATACGATGGGTCTTCTCCAGGTAAACTGCAATATTATCCACCAATCACTTCGAGGTGGTATTGACGCAGATTATAGACCTTTCTCCCTGAAAATGATCGCTATGCGGCAATGCTACTTTATGGCATGGTCCTATCGACCTGTGAGGAATCACTCCGTGAACACTAGCCATGGGCAACTTCAAGCTGACAAGGTTGGGGTCACTCGGATAGGCTTCAATGGCTATGACGCCGGGATCATGACCGTTATTTTCGCTGATGATCAGTTCGTCGAATACTATGATATGGATTCAAACAAGCAGGGTATTGTTGCCACAGCACCCTGGGCCACAACCGGTACGGTTTCATTGACCATCGAGATGAGCCGAGTTATTGGATTAACTGATAAAATAATAGGCCTGGCACAGCTGTGTGTTGGTGGCACTTTGGCAAATTTGGTTGGCCGCCTTTGGGCTCTGCGAATATCCATCTTTGTCATGTGCATTGGCGTTGTCGCTCAAAGTGTGCCAAACACATTCGGCGTCCTTCTGTTTGGTCGCCTTCTCACGTATGTTGATCACCCATTTTTTTTTTCGTCTGGTACGGATTGTAGTTGGTTTGACCTAACAAGACTAATAGCGGTCTCGGCTTCGGATGTGTATATATCGCTACAAGTTTGTATGGTAGGATGATCCCCAGGTAGTCCTTGTTACACGCCGTTCCCTCTAACAAAATACCAGTTGCAGAATGTTCTCCAAGAACCCTGCGCGGTAGCTTTGTTGGTACAGTGACCCAATTCGGCTACCAGCTAGGAACCTTGATTGCTTTCTGGACCGGCTACGGCATGTCATTTCATAAGTCACCTTTCAATATCGCATGGCGCGTATCCAACGTGATTCAAATCCCCATCGGACTCGCTTTCATAGGCCTTTCCTTTTGGTACCCAGAGTCCCCCAGATGGCTCTACGAAAAGAAACCGGACGATACTGATCGCGTGATCAAAGTTCTATGCAAGTTGAGAAGCGGGACACCTGACTCAGAGCATGTGAGGCAAGAATTCCACGAGCTGGTAGCCTCTCACGAGTATCGAAAACGGTTCAAGACAGGATATAGTGCCATCTTCTCCTCTCCGGGCATGAGAAAGAGACTTCTTTACGGTCTCTACGCTACAGCTTTGCAGCAAGCTGGCGGAATTGCTGCACTAACCATGTACGCTGCACTGATTTACAAATCACTTGGCTGGGATCAAGGGAGCCAGGCACTTGCTATCAATGGAATACAGGCTGTTCTGCAGCTCTTTATGGTCCTCATCAACACATTCACCGTGGATCGGTTCGGTCGGAGGGCGTTGTTGATTGCAGGCTTCTCTATTCAAGCCGCGGCTCTCCTGGTTCTATCTTCCATTACAACAGCGTTCCCCCATAATGAAAGTAAGCCTGGATCTGTCGTAGCCGTTGTATGCCTGTTTATCGTCGGTATGACCTATTGCTGGTCCAACGGCCCCATCCCGCCTGCCATCGCATCCGAGATCTTCCCGCAAGAGGTTCGTGATAAGGCATTCGGCATTTCATTGCTGGGCCAGACTGTCTGTCTCATTGCCCTTACTCAGCCTTGGCCTCGTTTCAACGAGCAAGTGGGAGGCAAAAGTTACTGGCTTCTCTTCGCCTTGAATACTGTTCTTTTGGTAGGTCTCATATCCAAATGGAGGATCTTACAGCTGGCTGACATTTCGCATTCACTTAGATTTCCGTTATTTTTATTCTTCCTGAAACCAAAGGAGTGTCTCTGGAGAGAATGGACACCATTTTTGGGGAAGTTGACGCTGTGGCAGCCGGCGAGGCAAATAGCAGCCTCAAAGTGGACCTCAACGACAATGACCACCACCTCCACGAGCGCAAAAGTTCTACAAAAGTTGAGACTGCGGATGAGAAGGCCTAGCTGTTCTCCTCCTTCCTGATGAACTTGAGGTCAAAGCGTCAGTGCGTACGCACTTTGGCTCGAAACCCCTGAAACTTGGGGTGTTTAGAGAAGTATTCCTTTGAACCACTGTGGAAGTATCTCAAATGTAGGGGGATTTGAATGACGCATAGCCGAGGAAAGGTAGTTTAATATGAATAATTGCTGAGATTAGCCACCGTATTGCTAGAAAAAAATGGATATTTATCTCGGTCCAGGGCTATATTCGAAATGTGATATTTATGCCGTCCCAAGTCCCCAGAATGTAACAAGGCATATTCTCCTCACTCAAACAATATTAGAGAATTCAAAGAGATGTCCTAGTCCTAAGGCTGTGTTTGGTATTTAACGATATTGTCAATTGATGAAGTTACTCTTCTTTCTATTTCGTGTCCGATGTCTCCTGCTACTTCGGCCCCAAAATGATTTCTAGGATATCACACGCTGTTGTGTTTGATTCAAGAGATATATGAGATTGAGATACCCCAAATACAATTTCTATCACGTGCATAATCATATGATACCTGAGATATATTACTATCTAAGTGTGGCTCTTGAACCTATGCCGATGTGTATATCTCTCATACAGGACAGCATTTTAACCAACAAACTCGAACGCGTAAGCTGTGAACTCATTGTCTGGGGTAACCCAAAAGGTGATCTGTTGAGTACATTGTCAGCCCAAGAACTTCGACCTGCGAAATGTGCCTTCGCGAAGTTAACTTACCTCGCCATTGGATACAGTGTGGGTTGCAACACCCAGATCTGTAGGGGCGGTGCCCTCCAGCCACCAGTCTATATGAGTGAACCGTTTCGTCCTGATTTGGACGGTCCCAGATATCCCAAGTGCACTCAGGCCCGTGACCCTTACATCATAAGTGCGAACACCAACTTTCGGGCGTAAGCCCGTCAAGATCCTCACGCTATCCTTGGAGCTTCCTCGAGTAGCGAATGCTTCAAACATGCCGTCATCAGACGCCGTGGTAGCTACTCTATTTCCCGTCATGGAGTTTGCGTAATAGTTGTACACATACCACTGTGCCGAGGGGAAGTATCTGGTTCCTTCGAAATTCACAAGGCCTGCCATACTGTTATGGAGGTTGCTGAAGCCCATGCCCCAATGGGCTCTCAGGCCTTTGATATTCTGCCTTTCAAAGTTGGCTAGATACCATACACTCCCTGCATTGGTTTGGTCACCTCCTGATATTGCGCCATACTCGTTGACTATGACATCCTTGTATGGCAGGCCTCTAGCACTAAGCATGGACTTGAGGGTATCTTGAGAGCCGCGAACGTCAAAGTCGAGTCCTAGCACGTGATAAGTGTAAAAGTCGGGAATGGTGTTTGTAGACTTGGCGTTATCCAGCCATGCGGTCCAGAATCCATTGCTAGTGCTTGCCGGCACAGAAATGGAGGGACCAACAATTGGAACGGACGACAAGTCCTGTCTGTGACCTTGACATTAATATTGATGCTATAAGGGTGAACTATCCTAAGAGGTGATTGACTTACTTGAAACGATTGTAGGCACGGGTCCATGTACTGAGATATTGGCTGTAAGCACGATTCCAAAATATTGTGGAGTCGGGCTCGTTCCAAATATCAATATCAAGTCCGCTTTGCATGTTGTTAGACTTGATAAAGTTGATAACCTGGCCCAAAAAATCGTCGAATGCAGCCCAGTTGCCGTTATCTCCCGGCCAGGAAATATCACCCTGAACTCCGTCAGATCCCCAGAGGGCGGCGATGATAACCTGATAGCGAGCACCCGCTTGGCGACATGTGTTGTAATTGGACTGGAAGGATTTGAGTCGTCCCTTTAGGCTCATGTTAGAGAGGTGCTTTATATGGACCAGATAGATTTAGGGAAACGCCCACCTGAAGTTGGCCCCTTGCATATCCGAGACCAGGACTCGGAACCTGGGAGCCTCCTGCACGACAGTACTTCAACCCAACACCATTTCTAAGGTTACTTGGGATAGCCCCATTGGCTGACCCATCGGAATTATCTGGGAAGCCGTAGATGAAACCGGAACCTAACTGCCCAGGAGACCCTTGGAGAGAGGCTAGATTGACTGTAGCAGTCCCAGAGGCACGTTTCTCAACGGTGCCACTGATATCCCCGGTATTCAATGTTGGATCAGGTGCGATGGCGGCCGCTGATGCCAATTGTGTGAACGTAAAACAAGCCAAGAGGGCTATGGCTTTCATCTTGTTCATCTCTAACAGACTGAACGTCGAATTTTCATATAGTTGTGAGGTGGTATTCAATTGGTCTGCATATGTAACCTGGCCGAGAAAAGATAAAGATAAAGCTGCATGAATTATTGAAAGTTATATAAAACAAATAACCCAGCATGTTTGTTAGGGCTCGGACATCAAGTCCCCGAATATATACTATCCATTTAAGGCAGGAGACCATGTTCATTAGCATGGCATTTCCACCAGCCAGCGACATTAATTCAGACTCCGCTCGCATCATTGTCTTCCTCGTTTAATTCAAGCAGGGTCAACCGGTCAACCGGTCTTGAATCTTCTGAGGGGAACAGAGTCACCCACTAATTAGTATCCGGTGGGCGTCTCTTGGCATTCCGGTGGGCGCTCATCTTGTAGGTTAGCATACCCCAGCTATCTCCGCACGATGTAACGGAGGCCAGCTTGACTGCCGAATGGCTCTATGGTGCTTTGATCCCAAACTAACATTGTACACATCCTTCCGGTGGCCAAGATAAGTATAGCACGATGATATGACTTGCTTTTCCCGGATCAGCGGTGGGATATTCAATGTTATTTGCTAGCCTTTAGCTCTACGTAGTTGGCCTTGGCAGGGGAACCAATCTCTACAGAATTGGCAGACTTATCAGAATTTGGAGTGCCGCCAACGGGCGATATTTTTACAGCATGAAGCTAGAACATGTAAATAACAAGGCATATCTGAATGGCCATACTTACATCAATAAGTTGAATATGGTTTGGGGTCCTTAAAACAATCACAAACGACACAATTTTATTTGGCTCGGCGCTGGCTTGGGTTTCTCAAGTTCAGGAAAACGATCCACATCCACGAGGAATAAAGGAAACTTTCATGTTAGGTTTCATGGATGTTATGAATGTAGAATAACCGTCGGGTTATCCGTTATAGCTTGCCTATATAAGTAACTAGGATAAAATCTTGCCGCACCAAAAGGCTGTTGTCATATACCTTGTGGCCCAATCAGCCTTTCATCGACAACATCTCTTATAATAGTGCGTGATAAATAAACCATGTTACAATAAAAGCTTCATAGCGTGTTGTCTTTCATAATTCACTGTGTGAGGTTTCGATGAGCCATGTCTTTTATGTCGTCCCCATTCAATTTGGTGAGAAACAGTTTTTGATGGCATAATTCATCAAAGCCTAGCCATATCCTAACTATGCTCCATATATCACTATTTTCCGCAGTATCCCTTCAACTAAATTTTCAAACGGAGTGAAAAAAAAAAGTCTCAGTATTCAGAAGGGACACGCTGCTATTTCCAGCGAGGACGGCAACCGGGGATAATTACCTTATGTTCCTCGTTACATTGATTGACGGCGCAAGAGCAGTAATAAATGTCCGTGCTTAGGTTCGCCACCTTGCAATAACCCAGATAAGAAGCGGGCTACTGGGGTGAGGACTTGGAGACGAGTAACTCTCATCGCGGAAACTTGCACATTTAGTCTCAACCTGATTTCTGAGCGCCACAAACCTGTCATTGATATTAGTCAACAACACCACGGCATAAATGATGGTATTTGCCCCTGGTCAGCCTCGTTGAGAGACTCCGTTCTCCATGATCCGTACTCTTCATTCATTACGTACCATTTTCTGGCTTCCCCAGCTCCTGCGGATACTTCTCCAGATCATTCCCCGGGCTTTCAGTGTGCGGATTTGTCATGAATAGAAATGGATTATGCGGGATAAGATTTTCGTGGGATGGAATCCGAAACTCTTCAGTGAATATATGCGTCGTTTGCTAGGATTAGAGTGCCAGGGCCCGCCTTGTCATGATATGGATGGAACAAAGGAGACACAACCACCTAACTAGATGAGTGATTACCACACAATACACACAGTGTGAGTGTCAGGTATCAACTTAATACCCACAATGGAGCCTTCTATCTTGTTATTCCACTTTTACTGGGCCCTTGATACTTTGATCCTCTTCTCAAGTTCTCCCCGTTATCAAGACCACTGACCTGCCCAATTATCAATCGGGCGAGATTTGACTACTTAGATACCAAGTACTTAATTAAATTGATATGCCAGACCCCTATTTTTCAGTCTAACCCACGTATTCGGTACTTAAAGAAATCCAGGCTAGTAGAAAGAGTACGTATGCCCCATTTTCTACATCATCAAAGGCGAGGGCGTGGTATTGCCTCGGTTCTCGGACTACATATGACGAAATGTCAGCGGTACTCCATTTCCCAAATCAATAACCGCCTTGATACACGTATGGTGACTGGGGCATTCCGGCGGAGCCGGAGGCCAGCTGCGCGAAGCGATGCTATGGCGTTTGTATATTGCGGTTTCTCTGAACTAATGTGTGTGATTCACGTATTATGTTGGGGATAGCTCCAAATCATGATCAATCGAATTGTCGCTTTGTTTCCATAGACTTCGATACATAAACATCCTCTCTTCAGGCTTCCTGCACCAAATTCGTAGCCCACAGCCATAAATAATTACTTCCACTTTGAGTACGAGGTGTAACATGCATGGGTGTTTCTATCGGCGTGGGCAAACCCCCCTTTCAAACTTGAGATCTCACTTGGAATGAAGCGATGGATCAAGGCCATCTGTATCTACTACATATCATTACAGACCGTTTTTAATAGTGATAGAACCGGACGAATCACGTATTCCATCTCTACTGGAGTAGATTGTGAGAGAGTCGGACTGGGTAAAATATTTTGTTATCCAAAGCCAACCTCCGGAATCAAGGTGAACAATTCCTAACTTGCCTAGCGAAATTTACCAGTCTACTTTGCTTTGCTCTTTCTTTCCAAATTTGCTCTTCCTTAACTTTATCTTTGATAACATGAGTCATGGCTGGAGTGTATCACATTGATTCATTGAGCATCTCGTCTACTCGCCTGGCCAATTTATCCCTCACACTTTTATACCATCTATGTAAGTTAGTCGTGTCACAAATAAAACGTGATAAGTGAGTGTCGCTCATATGCCACTCCGGTTATTAATCCTGCATCCAAGCAATTCGTCGCCAAAACCTTCCTTAGGAAGAGGTGGCAGTTTTCCGCGAGGCCACTCCGTACCAACTCTGGGGTACCAGCGGGGGGACCTAAAGCTAAGTGGAGCGACTTACAGCTTCGGGCTCAGCACAAAGATTCACAATATGTGTTATTATCAGCAATATCAGTATATTGATCATAACAAAAGCTGATTTCTTGCCCGTTATGGTCGCCTTACTTGGCCCCTGAGGCATTTTCTTCCAAATCCACCGGTGTGACTGGAGTGGAAGGGGGCAACATGGTTCGAAACATCCCATCACGCGTTGTTAACATGCCTGCCCCCGTTGATGCTTTTCCCCAGGCTTTGTACGTAATTTTGTGGTCTCGTATCGGTAATCTGGTTAGTTGCGTATGCTAGTGAGTGGAGCGATGGAACTAATATCGAAACCCACCTCTCTGTCTTCAAACTGTACCCCAAATCTTCACCCCCCGAGAGAGTTTGGTAGTTCCTTATCGTTGATAAACCTTGCTGATCCCGGATATAACCTCTGAGGGCAGTGGACCTCAATGGTTTCTTGTCTAGTAATTGCATTTAAATAAGCCTCACCTCCCCAGATTCCTTCCGTGACTTCGTCGATCACCTCTCACCCTTTGGCACAGTGGCCTTACCAATCCCCCTTTGAACACCTTTTCGCCTCCACGCCTTGAAAACGCCTAAGCTTCCTGATTAGACATCGTTTTCGATATACAACATGAAGAAGCCTTCACTCTCGGGCAACGAATCTCCTCGAGGGAATGAGGATGTTGAGGAAGTCGTTGGTGATAACCAAAATGTCGATGCGGTATTCGGTCAAATCAGGGAAGGGGGACCTAACTACCGCAATGTAAGAGCAACCTCGCAGAACGGTGACTTGAATTCCAGCGAGTCCTAGCAATGCTAACTCTCTTTCCAGGTAGGATGGTTAGGTACCTCAGTCCTTATGATGAAGACTCAGATCGGTCTCGGTGTTCTATCTTTCCCTGTGGTTTTCGATACTCTCGGTATGATTCCGGGAGTTATTCTCATGCTTACCATCAGCGGCATGACGCTATGGTCGAACTACATGGTCGGCGTCTTCAAGCTTAACCATCCTGACGTGTACGGTCTTGACGATGTCGGAGAGCGAATCTTTGGACGTATTGGTCGAGAAATATTTGGCGTGATTTTTGTTCTCTGTGAGACTCTCGTTCAGGCAGCAATTAAAGGGTTTGAGGCTAACTAAAGATACGATCAGTTCAAATCTTTACTGCCGGTTCCGCGGTTATTTCAGTCTCGATTGCACTCAATGCCCTCTCAATGCATGCCACATGCACTGCCGTTTTCGTTGCCATTGCCGCGATTGCATCTTTCTGTCTGTCTAGCATTCGCACACTTGGCCGTATCAGTTGGTTGGCATGGGTTGGCGTGAGCTGCATAATTGCTGCAGGTACGATCTTCACTACCTTTTTCATTACTTCCGGAGAGGGACCTAATATCGAACTGCAGTTCTCACTGTGACCGTTGCTGTTGGCCTCCAGGACCGCCCTTCCGATGCGCCCAAAGAAGGTGTCTGGAAGTCAGATTATGTTCTATTTGCCAATCCCAGCTTCACCGATGCTATCTCGGCTATCTCGACAATCATCTTCTCCTACGCAGGTACAGGGGCTTTCTTCCCCATCGTGTCCGAGATGCGAGACCCTAGCCAGTACAATAAGGCTCTCTATTTGTGCCATACTGTCGTGACTGTTATCTATGTCATAGTTGGAGTTGTTGTCTACTACTATTGCGGGTCTTATGTCGCATCCCCAGCCCTGGGCTCTGCAGGGCCTCTCATCAAGAAGGTAGCTTACGGCATTGCTCTTCCTGGTCTGATGATGTCAGCGATCCTCCTCTCTCATGTAAGTATGACCAAAGTTCTTTCCTGGTAGTTGATTGAAAGAAAGTATTTTGCTAACCAGCTTTGTACAGCTTGCTAGC